AAACAATAGTTGCAAAAAATTTTATTTTGTTCTAGCTCAATCCTAACATATATTTAATTTAAATAATCTAGTCAAAAGAGTTTTGTCATAGAGTTTATATATAACACTGTATCGTTGTAAACTTAAATGTGTAATGTTTTGTAAATTATCAATTTGTTATTAACCTGGTAAGAGTGAGAAAACGGTAGTAAAGTATATCCTATCATAAAATTTCATATGAATACATGAATACATTTTTTATTATATTTAATATAAAAGCGCACAACTTGTTAAGCACAGGTATGTCTTTCATTTACAATAACTTTTCTACTGATAATCTACTGTATGTACTAATCCATATGATATTCATATTGAGTAATACTAATAGAGAATAAATTTACAGTACTCTCAAAATTTAAAGGCAAAAAATAATATGTCTAAATATTTAACGTAGTTTATTATTGAAGTGATTTATTTATTTATTTTAGAAAATTAGTTTTATTTTATATCATTACAAAAAATAATACAAATAATTTTTTATCTAAGAATTTCTTTTGAATATAATTGTTTTATTGAGGAAAATGTATCAAGGTTCTTTTAGTGTATTTTTCTTTGGAAAATATCATTATTTATTAATAAACAAACATTAAATTCTAATCAATTAATCAGTTTATAAATAAAACTATATTCTGTTACCGGTAGTAATAATTTATAATTTGATATAATACCATTTAATCCTAATTTTAAAATGTTGATAGGTGGAATGCTTAAATAAATTAAATTTAGTTATGATTACATGTACAATGAGATTGAGGACAATAATTGAGGGCACAGTTAGTCCGACACCAATCATCCATATTTGGCACTGCCCTCCAAATGCCCGTCGATTTACAGCCACTTTCCCTTTTGATATCATTATATTCAACGGGAGTATAGAAGGGGTGGGCGGCTGTCAGAACTCGCTTTGAATTATCATTATATTTGATAGGAGTATAGGAGGAGTCAGTAGTGGTCAGCACCCGCTTGGACTCAATCGTATTCAGGGTCTCATCGTTAGGATCACTATCCGGGACCACATAATGAGGAGTTGTTGTCATCTCTGTCTCATTAAGAGTGTTATTATGAGCTAAAATGCGGACATCAGCGCAACCTCTGAACGTCTCCTGAGGACCACATCCCACAGCACTCAACCCATTGTCACATTTTCCCCAATTATTGGCCGAAGTGTATGTCCACTGAAACACACACCGATCGCACGCCAACCCATCGGGCAGTTTGAGGTCAATCGTAAAGGTTTCGGCCTTAGGCGAGGGAACGGTATACTTGTCTGAACTGTTCTGCGGGTCCAACACATTGAGGGCAAACCTATCCAAACATTGTTGAGTCACTTCTTGACTGTCATTAACCGCTGGACACACTTTGAACACAAAGAATCCGTTATGATTGGCGGTTAACTGAACTTTGGCTGCAATGGTTTGGCCGCTTATGTAGGTCCTGGTGATGGCCAAGGTTTTGGCGTATTTCCCGTTTGGTGTCTCATTATCACGTTTGCCATCGTATGGGTCGCCACATATACCACACTTTCCGCCGTTTCGTTTCCATTGTCTCTGAAAGTAATAGTAATTTGTTAAATAGTTTAGAGAAAAGTTTGTCAACTTTTTTGGTCTTACCGTAAAACCGCCGCAAAATAGTTCGTTATCGTTGTAATTGATTTTGGTTTTGTAGCCAAACCTCCAGGCGCTGGATCTCGATGGCGGGTCTATGAGTCTTCCGTGTGCCCATACATTCTCGACATAAATTGTTATGTAAATTATTATGCAAATTATTTTTGCATTTAAAATGATCCCAAATATCATGATTTTGATGAAGTGGTGAATAAATGTCGACAATTTCTTTTACTTTATCGCCATTTGTTACGCGATTTAACCTTAAAAATAAAATTTTATATAATTATTATGAAGATAATTATCTATAAATCATTTATTCAATATCGTAAATTGCTTGTAACTTATAATTTAAAACTAACTTTAAAAATACTTTGTGTGGTTAAGTTTGATTGCAGTAGTAAACTGAGAAAACTGAATGCCTGTATATATCTTAAATATACTTTTAAGCAACATTAACAGGTGATAATCACTGAATACTAACCAGTATTAGTGAATTTTGCAATTTAAAAAATTTTAATAACTTATAAATTGTTAATGGGTTGGCAATGATTTTCAAAATACAGTCAATGAGAGTGATAGGAATGTGTCTTTACAAACACATTGTATGCTTATATCATTTAAATTCTCAAAAACTATTGTAATCAAGTTCATTGACTGTCAGCTTGACATTTATAAACATATAAAATACAAACTCAAATAACATAGGAATTATGAATTATCAATATTTCAAAGCTGTCAATGGGTGGTGAGCTTAGGTCATGTCAAGTCAATCATAAGGAATGAATTTCATAGAAAATACATTTTTACAAATCTGTTATATAAATATCTGTGATACAGTATAAGATTATTTAACAACGACCTATCCTTTTAGGAAAGTCACGGCAAACCACTGGCATTTGTTAACAAAATTTCAATACACTTGCGATAAGATTCTTATCTAAATGTATTTTATTGAAGAGTTAATGATGAGTATAAATCTGTAGCACAATTGAATAGAAATTTCTAAAATATTTTGATAAATATTTTTATATCTTAATGTAAGTTATACTCAAAGACGCAATAATTTTACGATTTTTAAACATTTAAAATATTTTCATACCTTTAACCGGAAGTTATCCAAAATATGTGTTCACATTGTGAAGGATTTTACTATGCACTGTATTACTTGATTAAATCTTATTTTTAAAATATTTTGTGAACTTTTTATAACTTGTCATCATATAAAATAAGATTATACTACAGTCATAATTTATATAAAATAATCATAAAAACATTTCTAAATAGATTCAAACAATTTCTATTTCAATAATTTACAAGAGAAAGCGAAATGTGGACTAAATTACATATTTTAATAAATACACACAAAAAGCAGTTAATCGTAATTAATTTGATACTTTGGTGACAATGAGTGATATCTCCATAACCGCTGAATGCAAAGTTTTGGTAATATTTCAATATATTACATATCATATAAGCATAAAAAGACTATGGATATGAATGACCGTGAATTGTACTGGATAAACAGTGGAATTATCTGATGATAATAATCAGGAATAAGTAAAGTACGAGTTTGCCTAGGTTCAACTGATTACTATACTGTAAAATTAATTATTCTTATAGTGAATATCAAATGAAAATGAAACATTTTTAATCATATTTAATCACTTAATGTTATCCATTAGATATATAGACAACATAGTCATATTGAATGTTTGAACACAAATAAATTAATCATAACCGCTGAATGCAAAGTTTTGGTCAAATACTGTCCTTTTATGTGAATACTGCACAAGTATTTAAAGGTTATATTGTGAGATATTGATATTTTGAAATATAGTGATCACTAATTAAATAGATGTCTAAAATTTATTATCAATAATTATAAACTATGATTTCTAAATTGTCGATTGCATAAATTTTATTTAAAAATAAAAATTAATTAGCACTTTATTTTAATATAAGATTTATATAAACTCATAAAGTACAGTAACTGCTTATTATTAATTGTATGGTAA